ATGACAAGGAGAACAGTTTAAAAGATCCGTGTGTGTCAAAGGGCGATGGAGCGTGCTATGTTGGGCGTTTCTCTATGAGACAAGATCCCAAATCGCCAGCTACGACAAAGAACAGGAGTGGCTGATGCAGTAGAGAGAGTAGCAACACTGAAATAGAACTGGGCAGGTCACGTGGCTCGAATGACAGATAATAGAGTGAACAAAGCGGATACTGGAATGGAGACCAAGAGATGATGCCTACCGAAGCAGAGGTCGTCCACCAACACGTTGGACTGACGATCTAAAACATTGTCATAGGAATTCGATGCACGAGGCACAATATCGAAATAGATGGAAAATTATGAGGGAGATCTATGTCCAGCAGTGGATAAGCGAAGATTGAATGATGAATAAGTGATTCCAAACACGGCAGTTGTATGCAGCTGTCAAAAGTATACTAATGGCTGCAGCGCACTAAAATTTAACTTATGTACTTAAAAAAGGTTAGACTTTCCAAAACTCTTTTTTTTTTATCGCAGAGCCCTAATAGCCGAAGGTTATATATCAAACAACCGTATATATCATTTTACCGAATATCAGTGTTTATTTCAATAAAAATGGTCCTTGCGTACGTGTTTAACGAATTCAAAATAACCTAATATAGAATTTGGTAATGACATTGGGTTCATATGCACAATTTGACTGGGTTTTATACATTATTATAAATTTGAGGACATCAAGATCGATTCCTTTAATTCCCGTTGTGGTACCTGGGATTCGTTTGACTCACCTCTATACCATACGCGACATTCTTCGGTAAAGTGTTCGTTTTTACGATGACCAGAAGTATGTGGTCAAAGCCGCATTATGACTAATAGATTTCAGATAAACGAGCTGTGTAATCGGAACAAATGATGATAGTAAAAAATTCTTAGGCTCTGACACATATTTCTTAAAACGAAAAAAGTAATTGCATGGCGTTACGTCGCTTAAATGTGACTAACAGCAATTTATAAAATATCAGTTTCCATTATTCGGAAAGTTTAATGCCTACTAATTCGTTTTACATTGTCTGTCAGACGTTTGTTTTACGATCACTTAGCTTTGTCTATTTTTCTGAATAGTAGAGGTGTACGTTTTATATGTAAGAAACACGACGAAACATTTGATTTGCATCAAAAAAAGCCCGTCCAATTTTAGGTCACATTACTTTTCCAATGGGAATTTTGCAAGTTCAATATTCCTATCAGGTGCGAAGAGTTACCACATTGTCATTATGATTAGACTATTTCTAAAAATACGTGTTGTGATAGCTAAGGTAATAACAGATCATCCTTCGGGTATCCCCATTTTGTCACCATTACTAGCACAACGTGAACCCCTGGTTCTTAGTTTATTTAGCGCTTTCCATGTCAGATACGGCAAATTGTGTCCAACAGTCATATTCTCTGAGGAGACAAAATGTGCTAGGTATTTTAGCTGACAACATCAACAAAACCAAAGAAATGCGATTTGGTACCAGAAACAACCAACTATTATGATCAACGACCAGAAAATTGAGAGAGTAGCGGAATTTGTATATCTGGGCAGCATAATTGACTGTAATGGGGGTACAGAGCGTGATGTACATGAAAGAATAAATAAGGCTCGCAACGCCTACAACATGCTTAACAACATACGGAAATCCAGGATTTACCCAACTAAAACGAAATTAAAAATCTTCAACACAAATGTAAAAGCTGTATTACTGTATGGCTGCGAAACGTGGAAGATATCAGCACCCATAGTACACCAATTACAAGTTTTCATCAATAGAGCGTTACGAAAAATTCTTTGTATATTTTGGCCTAACCGAATCTCCAATGAAAATTTATGGAACCAAAGCAACCAAGAAAATGTCATAAAGCAAATAAGGCGAAGAAAATTGAGATGGCTGGGCCATACACTCCGTAGACCGCCCAAATGACATTGCCAGGACAGCGCTGGATTGGAATCCCCAAGGCCGACGGAAAGTAGGCAGACCTAAGGGAACTTGGAGAAGGACAGTACTGGACGAAGGGAGAAAAATGGGAAAATCCTGGCTTGAAATCAAAGCACTAGCCAGAAATAGAGTTCGCTGGAGACACTTTGTGGAAGCCCTATGTTCCTCTTAGGAATCTTGGGACTGTATATATATATATATATATATATATATATATACATATATATATATATATATATATATATATGTATATATATATATATACATACATATATATATATATATATATATATATATATACATACATATATATATACATACATATATATATATATATATATTATATATATATATATATATATATATATATATATATATATATATATATATATTAGCTGACGCTTGTCACATGTGCCGTTTCAGGAACGGATCTTCATTTTTTCAGAAAGCTTTTCCGAGATCTTACGCCGGCTTCCACGTCACACACGTAGCTTAGCGACCAACTACGATTAATTTTTTTGGCTTGACACAATTTTTAGCTAAAAGGATTGACAAGCCGACGTCAGTGGTTATAACCCAACGCTCTTAAAAGGCACTTCTGACAAACATTTTTGTACACAAGAGGTACAGTCTGTCCCATAAGATTCAAACTAGTATTCCTGAAAACGAAAACTAAACCCAAAATTAATATAACTTGCAAATCAAAAGACTGATATTTTTTTTTGTACACACTTATGACAAGTCGAAAAAAATGTAAAAAAGTATTTTGAAGTGTGTATATTTTTGGCAATTCCTAGCTGAGCGCTTTCGGCTTTACAAAGCCATCATCAGAGCTATGCTACAATAAAATGTTCTTATAAGTACTAATTGGTAAAGATTATAATTTTAACTTACGTCAATTTTTTAAATACCACTACAAAGGAGAGATCTCATTTCCTTATATTTCCAAATTATGATTTTGTTGAAATTCTTAGAACATATAAAAAAACATATAAAAAACCGACACTGGACTTCACAAACACGTTAAAAAAATTGAAAAAATTTTTTGTCATGGTGCGGGTGTAAGAACCCGACCATTGTTTGATCTGAGGAGGTAGGCAGAATAGAACTAATGAAATCAAATGTCGGTCCTTTTAAACGATTTTTCAAAAGTGACAGTTGACAAATGTCATATATAGGAAATAGAGATTGTTTTTTAATTCTTACAAAAATATTTAATGTTTGGAATTACTAATAGTCATCAAAGACTTTCTAAAAATTAAGTGTTTAAATTAAATTTTATGTGTTCATCACATCATACAGAATGACATTAGTTTTTAAAATTCACTCAAGTCATTGCTCAAGGTCAATGTATGTTCAATCTGACAGCCATCCTTAAGAAACAAGGGCTCAAATTGTTCAACAACAATATAAAGAAAAAACATGGTATTAATGTTATGTTATCTGATACTTAAGTGTATTGAGAATTGTATCTCTTGATAGAAATTTTTAAGAAATTTGCATAAGAAATTTTTTAAGAATGTATTTTCATGTTTCAATTAAGAATAACTGTCAAATGAATTACAAAATGTTGTAAATTTCTAATAAAGTTTAAAATTTGTTTAAAAATATAAAAGTATGAAAAAATATAATAAGATTGCATGAGGTCACCCTTCTTCCTCTAAGGTCTCCCATAATAATTTAAAAAGAGGTTTATAATTGCAATTGAGGTTGATTTGTGTGTTTAAGCAACAATCAGGGTTTAGTTTCATTTCTTTGGATATCTCAAGATCTTCCAAGAGATTCATGAGTCTAAAGTTTTTATTGGGAATGTTGTGTAAAAGTTTACTGTTTTCAGAAGGAGAAAAGGAATGATTATTAAATTTAATGTGATATCCAAAGTTTGATTTTTCTGGGTTATTGAGGTGTTCTTTGATTCTTTGATTCAGAGTTCTCATTGTTCTACCTACATAAGTCATATTACAGTCACCAGAGGACAGCTTGTAAATACCACTTCTGTTTAGTTTTTCAACTTTGTCTTTGGTCTTGCTGAAGATGGACTTGATGTTATATTTGGTTTTAAAGGAGATGTTTAAGTCACTGATTTTATTAACAAGTACTCTTGAATTTTTTTCTGAAATTGGTCCTAGGTAAGTTAAGGATCTATATATGGAAGTAGTGTTGGATTTTTTATCAACATTAAAAGCTAGGTTTAGTCTCTTTTTGAGTATAGATTTTCTAATGACTTTATCAACAGTAGTAGAAGGAAAACCATTGTTGTTTGCTATCTGTTTAATGATGGAAATTTCTTTATTGTAATTTTCTTGAGACATAGGGATATTAAGAAGTCTGTGGACATAACATTGAATAGCTGCCATCTTGTGTTGAAAAGGGTGATTTGAGGATGTTGGTATCATATGATCAGTTTGAGTAGGTTTTCTGAATATTGAAAATTCTAGTGTAGGCAAAGAAGAAGAGGAGGAAGCATTCTTTTTGATAGTTAGGTCTAAAAAGTTGATAATGTTGTTGCTTTCTACTTCTAAGGTAAAATTAATTGCAGGATGTAGATTATTAATTATTGACAAAATATTGTGAGGTTCTGAAGGTGGGCCTTCTATAAAGGCTAAAATGTCATCTACATATCTGTACCATAGGATTATTTGTGGTTGAGAATGAACAAAGTTAGTTTCGAGATAGTCTAGAAAAAGATCTGCAAGTAGAGGAGATAAAGGATTTCCCATGGCTAAACCCTCTGGTTGTCTATAAATTTTATCGTTAAAGATAAAGAAATCTTGGGAAAGGCAAAATTGGAGTAGAGAAGTGATTTGTGAACATTTCTTTTGGTCAATGGTTTTTCTTTGTAGAAGGTTATTGATGATTGGAATGGTGTCTAATCTGGGAACATTGGTGAACAGATGTAACAAATCTTTTACATTTTCAAATTTTTTACATTTTCTTTCGACCTAATATAACTTGTTTTGACAATAGGCGATATAATAAGACAAACAATTATATTAAGAAATGTATCATGAACAATAATTGTTTTAATTTTTTGTTTCAGATATACCAAACCTCAAACTTTCGCCGATTGTATCGGAAATGAATTACCTTTAGGTTGGGAAGAAGCTTTCGATGGCCATATTGGTCGGTACTACATTGATCACGTAAATCGTAAGTATACTTTTTTGAGTTGTAATTGTTAAAAAGTTAAATGCGTTCTAGAAAGACTCTATACGGCCTCATGGGCTGTAGACCATGGAAATGGCCTTATTTCTTACATGATCAAATAAAGTATTTCGGAACATCTTCTCCAGTACATCATTTCGGTTGTGAGGTATTTTTATCGATAACCCAAGTTAGTTTCCGATCCATACGTCAGTACTGATTGAATCATAGCCTGATATAAGATATTTCTTTTTGTTAGTTTTTTTTTTTTTTCATAAGATTGGATATATTGCTTTACTCTTCCGCTTTCTGTTTCAAGCTCTATTCTTGTGCATCCTATGGTCGTGTATTGTGTATTTTGTGTATTTATACCCAAACCCCATTTTGTAAATTCTTCTATGAGTTTGTTTATCATGTATGTAATGTATTGCGAGTCTTCTACAAGAACTACCTCATCATCAGTAAAGACTGTACATAAGTGATTGATTAGTATCAGTATTTCCATGGGGCTGCATTTTTTCATCCACTGTTTTAAAGCGGAGCTTAGATGCATAGATAAATTGTAAGCAGGACTGGAGAAAGGCAGAAGTTCTGTTTGCTATCAATAGTTTCCATAGCGTGAAGCTCCATTCCTCTTGCTAATCTCTTTTCTGTTAATTATTTCATTGTAAATATATTATCCACACAGGATCGCCCAGATCGAAATCCGCTTTGCTCTTCCATGCCGTGGCATCCTCTTCTATTCAGGCTGTTTCAGTCAGGACTCTTTCGTAATGCTTTTCAATGGACGATATAATACTAATACCTCGATAATGCCTACATTCTCTTACATTTCCCTTTTTATAAATGAAATTTATATGAGAGCTCCTCCAATATCTTGGAATCGTTTAGCTTTCCAGGCACTTGTTAAAAATTACGCAAGGTGGTTCATTATGTTCTTATGGTTGCATATTTCATTAATTCGATAGGTAAATCACCTGTTCCTTAAGCTTTATTGTTTTTCATGTTTTGAAAGCTGGTTTTATACCTTTGAATGTAATGATCTTCATTTTTTTGACACATGTTTCGTCTACATCTGTTTGTGTGTCCAAATACTGTTCCTATTGTTTTTCTATTATATTATTATAGCTGTTCTATTGTTATGGGAGATATTTTACTTCTTTCATTTTTTATTTTTGAAGTTATACTTCTATACGCACGGTAGGCGTTGGGCACGGTCTCTATAACCGTTACGTTATTGTACGTTAATGCACCCGTACATTACTGCACCACTACGTACATTAATGCACCCATAAATTTTACACCCATTCTAACCAAGGCTGGAAGTAGTCATTCCACTAGTTTTTTTTGTATACAGTTGTAAAATTGTGTTTTTCAAGACATCAACTGAATCTTCTGATAACTGGAACCCATAATCAAGTAATCATTTGTTCATTTTCTTAAAATTAAAAAATTATTTCTTAGGTCTTAGGTCTGGACTGTGGGGAGGATGGTCCATTCGTCCAATTATTGGTGCGAGCTGTGTGCGGGCTTGCATTGTTTTGTTGGAAAAACATTCGTCGTTTCGGGTTTTTTGAAACCCAGCGTCAACTGTGACAAACAGATGTTTTTATATACCAATAAGCAGTATTAGTTCTTTGGCCTTATAGAGGAATTGTTGCTACATGGCCGAGACTTTTTGGGGACACTTCGAAAACGGATGACTTTTATCGGCTTCTCCTTCACTTGAAACATCTAAACCGATGTCTGGTGTTTACTCTCTGGCTTTCATCACCGTTCACGATATTATCCATGCTTTTTGAGTTTTCTGGGTTGAAGCAGTTATAATTTTTTGACACGAATTCATTCCAAGCAAGCAAGCAATAGAATCGAACCCAACCCAGTCTGTGACAGAAGCACAACCCTTAGAAAATGGCATACAGATGTTACAATTCATTGTGAGCGCGATTCTTGGGAGTAAATCAGGAACCACTCTACCTTGTCCCAAATGCTCCAGACTATCGTCCATCCCTCGATAGCATGCTGATGCGCTATAGAGGCTACCAATCGCAAAATGCTTTTTTGCAGAGGCCGGTTTTTTGTTTGTTTTTTATATTTTTTTGGATTGAGGGTGTCTAAATCAATTTATTTTCCTATGCCTGATTCTGGTTAAAGTGTTTATCTTCTTGCGATTTAGACTTCATGGATTCTTCAGATAGAGCTGCGTGCTTATTTTGTCATTTTATTATTTGTTTTTATTTGCTATTATTTGTTGCTTTGGTCTTCTGTGTTTCCATCTATGGAAAACATGATACCGTATTGATTCTCGCAGGATCTGGTTTGGGTGATTTTCAATCTCAGCAAAATTTTCCCTGACTCTTTCCTTCCATTATATCCAGTACTCTTACTTGCTTTAGATCTCTGAACAGTAATCATTCAACTACGTATCTGGGCACGTTTCCTATTTCTCCCAAGCGTTTCTTGTTTGTATCTTCTTTCTGTTTGTTTTACACGTATGTTCTCATGGGTAATCTTAGTGTTAGGTATTTATCCAGTGTGACTCCTAGGTATTTGTCTTCCTTCTTTCATTTAACCAGTCTTGTACGATTAGTTGTTCTTCTGGGTTATCCCTTCTCTTTTTGAAGATAACGGCTTGGGTATTCTCTGGATTTATTCGTATTTTCCATTGGTTACACCGGTCTTCTATTGTTTTCTGTAAGTTTCTCACGGTTACATCCAGGTGTCGCCGGTATAGCAGTGTCACCGTAATAATAATAGGGGTGACAATACTGCCTCTTGTGGTAATCCGGCCTCCAGGATACCGTGTTCGAACAGGACTTATCATATTCAGACACTGAACGCCAAGGTCCCGCTTTAACCATATTCTCTCAATTTAAATACTAGCCCTTGATGCCATACTCTGTTAAAGGCTTTTCTTACATCCAGGAAGGCAGATCCTTTATATTGTCTACCGTTGAATCCAGATGCAATATATTGCTTCCGAAATTATCATAAGTTGGTCTGTCTCTGTTTAGATAGTTTGTATGACTCTTTCTACTAGTTTGCTGACTACTGGAAGTAATCCTGTAATTTTGCGGGAAAATATTGTTCTTCCCTTATTTTGTGAATCATTATCACATGGGCTTCTTTCCATCGATTTGGGAAGAGACTTATCTCAATATTGCATTTTTGTAATAAATAAACTATGGCTTTCATTGAGAGATACTTATTACATAGAGTCCTGTTTATTATTTTGGCCGGTTCCATTTCACTTTAGCAGGTTTTGGTCTTGGGGGGAGGGCGAACTAATTTTTTGATACATGTCTAAAATTTGCTAAAACTAATCCGTCTATGCTTGAATTCTTTATAACGAAAAATGATTGGTGCTATATTACCAGAAACAGAAACCAACTTGATGGGCATTATTGTTGAAATAATGGTCTTCAAAAGTTATATGAAATTATTTTGCAAAAATATTTAGGGCTAATTTCATTTTTCGATTAGTTTCGTTCTAAATTTTTCTATAATGCATTGTAGCTATACCGCGACAGATACGACACTGAAAGTTTTTATTTAGGTCAACTAAATAAAAATTACGATTAATTTTTAGTTCTGACATTTGATTAATTTGTGTCCCAGTACGAAAAACATAAAATGTACGTCTCGCGGGGAAGCTCAAAGAATGTAACAAAATGTAGATTGTTTCATATGAAACGGTTTTATGTTCTATTAAATTTTCTATAGCCAAATAAATTAATAAATAAACCTAATTGGTATACTTGAATGTTGATCAAACCGATAAATATTTTGATTTTCAGAAGCAACGCAACTAGAAGACCCACGACAAGAATGGAGGGCAATACAAGAAGCCATGTTAAGGGAATACCTCATAACCGCTCAAGATGTTTTAGAAGTAAGCACTAAAATTTTTATCCCTTTGAATTTTTTTAATAAACATCCCATTTAATTTGCAATCTGTATTGTTCATTGTTCTATTAAATATTCCATAGATTCTAATAAAGATAGCTTAAGGCCTCTATTTTGAATGTGAAGAATTTGAAATTCGCCATTAAAAGAATGATTTGGTCTAGAAGGTGAAATGCGTACGTAGAATCTGTTTTTCTATTATTATTATTTTATTGTTCTCCTATTCGTTTGTAAAAAGTTTTACCAGTTTGACCGACGTCAGTTTTTGGGCAGTCGCTACATTTAAGATTTTATACTCCACTGTATAAGTGCTTTTTCTTTTGGCTCTTATTATTTTTAATATATTTGTGTAAGTTGTTGTTTGTTCTAAAAGCTGTGTTTGACTATTTTTGTTGATATCTTGACTGTATATGTAATCGTGCAGAAGGTACTGGGTTTTTCTATGGTAGAGGAAATGCTAATATCCACCAGTATTTTCACCTCCAGAAAAAAGCCAGTACCTCTACAGACAAGATGTCAACGAAAATAGCCAAACACATAAAAAGGAAGGATAACACCAACTTTTTGAACAAACAAGTTAACAGGTAAATATATTAAGAACAACAAAGAGCCAAAAGACAAAGCATAGTGGTGTATACAAACTTAAATGTGGTGACTGCCCAAAAACTTACATCTGTCAAACTGGTAGAACTTTTAACAAACGTATAGCAGAACATAAAAGGGTTTTCAATAATAGAAAAAAAGATTCTACATACGAACTTCACCTTCTAGAGCATAATCAATCTTTTAATGACGAATTTAAAATTCTTCACATTCAAAATAAACGCAACAGAGCAGTATTCTTGATATTAAAGGATTATATATTTTTTATATAACTCGGTGGATTTGTTCGATGGCTTCATGTTTCGCTCTAAATCGAAATTGATGGTTAGAAATTAATTGATTTGCTTTCAGAATTAGTTCTATTTTGTCTACAAGTAATTTTTTTAGTAACTTTGCTATAACAGGAAGTATGCTAATAGGTCTGTAGGATGTTGTTTGCTCAGCAGATTTTCCTGGCTTAGGGATTAATACAATTTAGTATATCTTCCACAAAAGCGAAAAGTATGTTTGTGTCAAATACCTCAGTCCCTTGTATGAAAGTTTTTTCAGAATTTTAGCACTAATTAAGTCGTATCGTGCAGATTTTTTTGGATTCAACATTTTATGGATTTTGTGACTTGGTTTTGAATAGGCAGTTTTAGTTGAAAAGATGGTTTTAGAAATGATTTCACTTTATCTTCAATGTCAAAGTTATTTTCCGCGGGATATGGTTGGAAGACTTTATCTAAGTTTTTGGCAAAAACATTGGCTTTGTCGTCATTTCTTTTTGCCCATTAACCATCTGGAGTATGTATAGGAGGGTTTCTAAATTGAGGCCTTTCTAAATGTTTTTACTGCAGTCAGCTTCTGAAGCTGTTAATAATTCCGAAACTAATTATCGAAGGCAGTTCTAGAGTTGTGCTAACATTTATATCTTTAAACATTTGAAAAAAATTAGTGAGTTCACCATCCTACTAGGTCTGGCTATTAAATAACTTCCAGTACGAAAACACGTTTTTGTCGCTGTAGTAGTATTTTTCTGCAAAGGTTAGAAAAAAACGTGTTTTTTTCTCGTGTTGATAACAATGTGTGACGAAAAACATGAGCAACGGATTAATGTGAAATTTCTCGTTAAATTAAAAAAAAAACTCCGACTGAGTGCTATAATTTGTTGAAAGAGGCCTATGGTGAGAATTCTCTATCTCGTGTGCGTGTTTTTGAATGGTATAAACGGTTTTCTTAAGGCAGAAAGAGCGCCGAAGATGACCAACGTCCAGGTCAACCTGTCTCTGTTTCAACCTTTGGTCACTGTTGTGACCAAAATAAATGAAATTGTGCGCGAAGATCGTCGTATGAGCATTCGGATGATTGCTGTCTGTGCGAAGCTGGTCCCAAAAAATTTGACTCCTGATCAAAAGCTCGCCCGTCAACAGATCTGCTCAGATTTCCTTGAGAGGTTACATGAAGAGCCTAAATTAATGGAAAACATCATCACTTGCGATAAAACCTGGATATTCAAATACGATGTTGAAACTAAGCGACAATCCATTCACTGGAAAAATCTTGCATCGCCAAGAATTAAAAAAGCAAGAATGCCGAAATCAAAATTTAAAGCCATGCTAATCATTTTTTTCGACATTACCGGCATCGTGATGACTAAATGGGTTCCAAACTGTAAACCAAACTTACTATTTGAAAGTTTTGTCAACGCTGCGAGAACGAGTTCGTAAAAAACGGCCAGAATTGTGGAAAAACAAGCCGTGGATCTTGCGCCAGGACAACGTTTCACCCATAACGCGCTGTCTGTGAAGCGTTATTTAGCCGATAGAGGCATTCCAGTGCTCGAACACCCGCCGTACTCGCCTGATTTAGCACCCTGTGACATTTTGTTATTTCCGAAGAGCAAGTCAGCTCTTAAACAGCCAAATCAGCCAGAAACGGCGGAACTCCTAAAAGCTCTAACAAAAGAAGACTTCTAGCATTGCTTTGACCAATGGAAAAAACGAATGGAACGGTGTGTGGCAAAGGAAGGGGAATATATTGAAGGAGAGCATTCGATTGTAGAATGATTTTTAAAATAAAACTCTTTTTCATAATCAGTCTCGTTATTTAATAGCCAGACGTATTTGTTTATCACGAAATTAATATCATCTGTATCGAAAATCTTAATTCACATTTATAATCATAGTATGTAGATAGGTTTCAACATTTTTTTCCCGAATTGTGACTGTATAACATGAATGAGGCTTAAGCGGATAATTAATCAGCTGAATATTTAAATAGCAGACAAAAAAAGATAAATACCGCTATTTTTCCTTAATTGCATTCATTAAACTTTTTAATTTCTATGAAAGATGAAAAATTTTGAATTTGACCCGGCGAATAAACCCACTCGTTGACTTATGAACTGACGCAGAAATAATTGATGACATAGCACGATTACGAAAAAGTGAAAGCAATTAATGTACAAATAATAGTAATAAGGTATATCGCGGGGTCATAATACCTATCATCAAAATATTTCCGTGGGCTATAATTGTCGTAATTTATTGTACATTTCAATTAGTACCAACTAAAATACATACGTTAAGTTGTTTGCTAAACAACGTCAACTGTCATAATATGTAAATAGAAGCTTATTTATTGTGAATTTACAGTTAATTTTTCCGTAGGTATGTTTTAATTGTTTATTTGTGCTCCACATTTGAATTTTGCAACGATTAGGCATTTAATTGTTGCTAATAAGCCGTTGGCGATAATGTTTATTGCCTGTAAATGTTAAGATGTTATACTCGACTTTCATTTAGACATATAAAACCTTTTTGTGACGAATTAGGAACAAAATCGGTAACAACCCTGCTGGCGATTGGATGGGAATAAATGCCACAAATATAATGTGCTGTATATTTCCCAATTTAATCTTTTTTTTGTTTTGTTTTGTTTCAATCCTCTCAGTACTTTTCATGACTCAGAAGTTCTTGTAACTCCTATGTATGTTTCAATATTTAAGCAGGTGCTTTCTCATTCTTCATTTTTTTGTTGTGTTATTTGTTGTTTCACTTCTCTATCTTTTTCTCTATATTCTTTATAAACTTCATCGTTGTTTGTAGTCAGCCATTTTCTGTATAGTTGCTTTTTTCTTCAATTATTCTCTTTGTTGCTTCATTAATTTCACAATGGTGCTATTTATTTGTTATTGATGTTCTTTCCTTCCAAGAGCTTTGAATGCTGCTTGTTTTATAAACGCCTTTATATGCTCGTACATTTCTTCGATGTTGCCGTATCTGATTTCTATTAATTTTTGGTCTAGATGTTGCTTGTATAGTTCTCTTATGCATTGTTCTTGGAGTAGTTCAATATTCTATTGTTTTTTCTCTTACGGTGTTCAACGGTTCTTCTGTAGAGGGGGTCTTGCTATGCTTCCAATTAATGCCCATTTTTGCTGTCAGTAGTTTATGGTCAGTTCCACATTCTGCTCTTCTTCTGACTCTCACATATTGTATCTTTATTGTGGTATCTTATTTGACTATTATGTAGTCTATGATCGATTTCAGCTTTTGTGTTTCTTGCGTCCATGTATATTTACGTCCATTTTTTATTACTGATTTCAATTTCTCAAAAAAAAAAATTAGTAATTTTTATTCAAATCATTTTTGTCGAATTGTTAATAGATGGCGCTATAGTCGGAAAAATGCTTTATACTAATACCTTAGGAGAATTATGGAAGTAATAGTTTATGATGTTTTTATTAAGGCTTAAGGAATTCAAAGTTGGCCCTTGCTCCAACCGCGGAGGCGTTGTATAGATGAGGAGTCGTGCTTGGAGTTATTATATTTTTGGGTTTTCAGATTTGTTTTGCTCTCGAGATATTCGACCGATTCACATAATTTTCATCAGGAAAAATCGTATTTTTCCGATTATAGCTCCATCTATCAACAATTCGAAAAAATGAAAAATGTCCCAAATAAAAGTTACATATTTTTGCATAAAAAATCCAAATCTGCATTAAAAAATTGGGGTTATCATTTAATAATTCAAAGTTGACCCCCCAGAGGGTGGGGTGAGGTTATGTTTGGTGTCATTCGATAGATTTTTGAAAAATATTGAAGATATGTTTTTTAGTTTTTCGATCCAACGTAAATCTCACCAAATATTCGACCGTCCTGCTTATTTTGGCACACCCGGTACTATACGACAAAAGCTATATTAAGATTTACAGGACCTGTTAAATTACTTTCCCATTATCTCTCGCGTAGTTGGAATAAGTTGTAAATAATAAGTAACTGAGTTTATATGTTAACATTTAACGGAATTTGTGGACATATAATTTGTACCAGTGACGCAGTACAAAGCAGATTAGTACTTCAAAGAACTACTTGATACAGAAGCGGAAAATTGTACATC